GAAGAAACATTGGATTCTTGTCAGAAGTTCTCTTCAAAGAGGGATTGTAACAATCATGTTCAGACTGGCACAGTTGTTTCAAAAGATCTGTTGCTTTTCCAGGTGATAGTGAAATTATCAAAAAATGATCAAACTAATTAACAGAGGGATCCTTGGTGCTCTCTGAGCTTGTTTGTTTTTGTACAGATAATTTCAAAATAGGAGAAAATACCCTTTCCAAAAGTCTAATTATGAGTGTATTACAATAGGGGCATTAAAAATGGCAGAATATAAATCAAACAAGACTGAACAGCATCATTTGGCAAAACCTGTTAAGAGTTTTGGCCCACTTCAGATCACCTTTGCATGTCCATGGGAAAGCAGAACTTTTAATTAGTTATATATCTAGAATATATTAATAGGCAAGAAAGGCTACGTGCATTATAGAATTGCAGGTTACTGTGTGTTTTGAATAATAATAATGGAAAATAATGTAGAAGGGAAACTACCAAGGTAATGAACTGGTTTGGTCAGAAGCAGTTTTCTCCCTGGCATTACAACAGGGGAAAGTGTTTTAGTGGATTGCCTACAGTTGTTGAAACAATGAATCATATGTTTATCTACAACATGATTTAAAAGATTTTTTGAAGAGAAAGAAATCAGTGGAAAGACTTCTCCTCCCCTAATTTATTTCACTACTTTTTCCCCTTCATGTACCTCGTGTACTGTAGTGTCAAGCTTAAAGGTCCTTAAAAAATGCAGCAATTATTGGAAATAATTTAGTTTTCCTAGGTTGACTTATCTTAAATCTGGGTAAAACTTCCCAAAGAATTAAATATCTAGCAGTACCTTGAGGCTCTTCAAATTGCTGATGGATAAAAAGGGATACAAGGTAGTGATAATATGTGTAATGAGATTGTAAAAAGGCAGCAAAACTGTAATGGATATAAACAATTATAGAAGAAGTCCAGTAAATAAAAGTTGATACAAGCATTTGTGATCACTAATAAGAAAACATTTATTTCATCATAAATGTAAATAATTGAAAACAAAAAAATCCATACCAGTGTGTACACTGTACACATTTGAAGGATACTTACAACGAAGTTACACATAATAGATATTTTAGGATCACAGATGTACTAACAGTAAAGTGTTGCTACATTGGAGTCTCAGAAGTCCACAACACAGTAACATCTACACTATTAATATTAGAGCTTTAGGATTAAGATACATATTAACTATTTCAATATTAAAATGAAAGAAAAGTAATACAGGAATAGCAAATTGAGAAATTACACATTTAATTTGTATTTGGGTTATTGGGTTGACAAAACTCATTCTTCAGTTGCCATCTTAATCAAATACTCCTTGTCTATTTTGAAGAGTCTCCATCCTTCCTCAGATGATAGATCAGAAGCTCCCCGTCTTTTGTAAAATCTAATGGAAGGTTCATTCCATTCTGCTACTAAAAAGTGCATACTGCTGCAACGGCATTTGACAGCAGTCTGGGGAAAGCAAAACAGAACATGAACATAGGTAAAAGTGGTGGTATGTTTGTAGTACCTGTAAATGTTTATATTCTGAACATATTTTTGATTGCTTTGCAACCCAAGATATGAGCATTTTATAGCTTAACCTCAATAGCAATTTTTAAAAACCCTCACAAAAAGGTATAAAGTAACTGAAAAACTGGATGAACACTGCAATACACACATTTAACATACATGTGTTCCTCATTTAATGACCATTTGTTCAGCGACTGTTCAAACTTAACATGGTGCTGAACAAATGGTAGTGGAACTACCTATACTATTTCAACAACCGGTCCTTGTATTTACAGCTGGTGTAATGTCCCCAGTCACATGATTACGACCAGGGCTTGGCACCTAGTTCACGACTGCAATGTCACAGCATCCCATGGTTACATGATTGTCACTTACAACCTTCTTTTCTGGCTTCCTGGAAGCAGAATCAATGGGGAAGCAGGCAAATGGCAACTACGTGACTTCCCTGGTTAACGACATGCGATGGTTTGAAGAATGGCAATTGGAACCAAAATTTCCATTACTAAGCAGCATAGTCATGTGGTGTTATATTTTACAACTGCATTACTTATCAATGGACATTCTAGTCCCAATTGCCATACCTATACTATTTCAATAATAGCATTTCAATAATATTGGCTTTATGGGACTGAGAATCCCTTACTGCTTCAATTGTATTTAAAAATAATTTTGCGAACAGTTTTTAGAACTATGATTCAGTGTGCTACCACGAAGAACTCAAATGCAGACTGAATTAAGATCATGTAATGCTTTTCTTGCTGAGGAAAGGGTATCAAACTTCAATGCAGAAATATATTTTGAATATAGCATACTGTAGTTACAGCTATCTTGCCATGAGCAAAAAAAAAATGTTTTTTATAGAAATGATTCTATGAAAGAATCCAAATTAAAAGTGAACCTTTAAAATGTGCACCATACTTATCATTAAATTATTTTCAAATAACTGAACAAAAAGTAACATATAAAATTATGTGCACATGTATGGAAGCAAGTATGATTTACAAGTTTGGAAAATATGGAGAAGTAAGTAAATGGTTTGGGGTAAAGTAATTTTAACTATGTTTTTCTTATTTCATGCCTTTAATATTTGTTGGCTTACTATTTCTAATTTCTATGTTTTATATAACTCTGCCCAAAACGGAATTAAATATTAGTATTTATATACATCTTCTAAAATTATTTCCTGGAAACATAAAGATCTTTGAAAATTGTTCTAAGAGACACATTAGATCAGGGGTGTCAAACTCAATTTCACTGAGTGCCGCATCAGCATTATGGTTGCCCTCAAAGAGCCAAGTGGGCCAGATGTGTCATCAATAAGTAAAACAATGTATGATGGAATAATTTATCAGATGAAATTTCCATTTGTGTTGAAGATAGCTAATTAATTGATCAGTTACTTCTTTTCCCTATACAATGGAAAGTCATAATCATCTACTTACTTGACTTAGATTCCTCAGAATTTCTGAACCAATGCCGGAACCTAAAGATGGGAAATTTTTAATTTTATAAATCAGATTTGTATAAGGCTTATATAACATGATTCTAAAATATTAATGTTTAATATCTAAGATACCTCTGAATTCATTCATCACAAAGAAATCTTCAAGATACAGCAATTTTCCAATCCATGGATCATAAGTGAAATAATACATGGCAAAGCCCACAATACCATAACCTGCAATGAAAGTTATTTTTATTTTACATAGGTAGAACATCATTAAAACAAAACAACTTAGTGTATTTCAAGTTTTACATGCATCTGTCAAAATAGATACTGTAATCATGCAAAATTAATTTGTTATGCTGCAAAGGTAAACATTTATAATTCAATAAATGCAATAAAAAGCAACAGTTCAATTAGAGTACAGATTCCCATCAAGTAAAAACTGGTCAAAGGAAATGTCATATTAATAAGATGCAGTTAACTGAACTTGCACATGCCCAGTAACTGTACAGCTCAAATACACATCCAATTGTATCAATTTGTCATTAAAACTAGAACTTTTTGTTAAAAATACTCTTTCCATATCCTATTAATACCATGTTGGAACAATACAAACTTCAACAAATTCACAACGGCAGATCAGAATGCTATGGTAATTGACTGTTCTTACATTTATACCCACAAGATTTTTCCAAAATAAGTCCTTGGTATTTATCTTCTAAATAAATTCTGAAAGTTTGTTTACAAAGCAAAGGAGGCAACTGCATTGTTTCACCTGTGACATCTAAACATTATTAAGAGCAGCTATATTCTTCAGTTGAATTGCAGCAGCCATGTTAATTGCTACCAGTGTTTTTCACTAGCACTTGTAAAAAGGAGGAAGTGTTCACTTTTCAATTTTTGGTGTTTTCCAGTTATATCTGTATAAGACATTACTGACTCCAATTAGATTTTATATTCTCCTATGCTTCATAGATTTCTGAAAACAGAAATTACATATATGATTTCTGATCTACCGAGTGCTTTTATACTTTCTTCTTACTTGAGGTAAATGTTTGGGAATAGTATTTGTCCCTGGAGACCTTACCTCATATATCATGATCATCTACTTTATTGTGTAACGGATCTTTTAGTTACCTCCCCGCCCATCCATGTACACGGAAGGGCCATGTACATGGCGAAGCTAGAGACTGTAACCTGAAGATTGGGACAAATTAAAGAAAACGTGATTTAACAGAATTGCATTGTGATAAGTTAGGGTCAAACAAGAATAACCATGAAACGAAGTGGAATTACACTTTTTCTTCTTCTACTGTTATACCTGGATACCTGGTTCTCCATGGTCTTCAGGATAACTAAGCAATTTTTTTAAAGCAACAACAAAAAAGACATCAAATTGGATTCAGAATTTGCTCTTGCCAATAGGACCATTCCTTAAATGAAATGCCCCATAGAATCCAGCAAGCAGGGAAGTTGTGAGATGATTCTCCAATGGTTCCCTGTAACCTTCCCTCCACTATCAGCTATTATGTTATTCTGGATGGTCCTTAGATTCTCCAGAGTAGATATTTATGCGGATGTCTCCTCCCTTTCCCTGCCAGCAGAACTGATCAATTAGATTAAAAAAAACCCTTCCATTCATGGAAGACAAGGTCTGAATCCAAGATATACTTTCATGTTTTAAGTATTAACCTTGGAATATTTATGTATAATTCTATTAAAGATGTTTAAATCTTAGTTTTTCTAATAAAGACATTACAATGTTTAAGTTTCACCTTCAGGTGTCCAGTGTTCTTTTGGCACTTCTGCAACAAGGCAGTGATAGAAAGGATGTTCTCCAAAACCATCCTCAAGAAGATCTACAGAATGAGAACATATAGATGATTTAACTACCATTTCCCAATCTCCCATGTAAATTAACCAGATTTATTCTAAAGTATACCATTACCTTTTTCAGTCAGTACTACTTGATCCTCCATATCTTCGTATTTAGCAAGCTCCTGTCCAAAACAAAACATATTATGGCTATTTTCTATTCCATTAGACATAAAGAACTACAAGTTTATTTATTTTTATTTGGAAAGTTATGTTTTTTACTCTACTATATATTTATATAAGGAAAAATGTTTATGAAAATGTCATCTCCTGTGCAGTGTCTTAGTGACAATCTTGAGGGAATCCTCTGATAATTTCTAGAGGTACAAAGTAATGATAGTGGTGTCTGAACAAATGGACACAGAACTGCATTATGAAACAGCAGTACCATGTAAGCCTATTCGAAAACAAGACTTATGGAATACCATGGGACATATTCCTGGATTTGAACTCTCTGTGGCTATTCCACAAATACTAAAAATGTCTTAAAGAAAATTATATTACTATATCATCCCATAAATTTATATTTTTAATAAGGACTCAACTGAACACTAGGGTTTAGTTTTGTAGATTAATAGGTCCCAGTATCCAATTTTAGACTGGATGCAGTTTCATGTATGTCTGGCTCTCAGTATCCTATCTTAGGACAAAAGTATCAGATTAGATATTGTAGAATCAATTGTAACTTAACTCTTATTTTTAATAGTATCACAGAGGTTAATCATCATAAAGACTCTTCCTCCTAAGAGGAAGGAATTTTTTGCCAACTCATGAAGGCAAAGATGTGTGTCCAAAGGGAAGAAAAATTGTTTCAGGGTTGACAAAACAATCTCCAACCCCACCCCTAGGACTTTTACCTTTGCTCCTAAGTGAAATGCTAGATTTAACTTGTTTAATTTCCTTTAAAAAAAAAAGTACTGTAGCATATCGCTTTAGGGCAAAGGTAAATCTACCTTTGTTTGTTCAATCTTTGTGGCAGTAAAATATTGTCTGCTCTATTACTTTATTGCATTAAAAACATCAATTTGGTCTTATCTTAAACACAAATATACCTATAATTGCCTAAGTTATTGTTATAATCCATATAACCTAAAAGGGAATATTATGATAAAATATATCTAGTTTCATAGTTGGAACAGGAGAAAAAAAAACAGCAAAAGCTGGAGGGAAATTAAACAGAACATAAATACAATGCACATTATCTATAATTAATCACAATTACTTAATTTTATAACACATTAAAGGCCAAGCTGAAGCTTTTGTCGAGTTCAGCACATGAAAACGTGGCACACCCAAAATGCCCAGTCTTAAAATGCCAGGAGACCTCATTTTCTCAAAGAAGAAATTGTATGTAAAGAATAGCAAGATAAATGGTAGTCAGGACCCCGGGTATTAATGCTACTCTAGTGGGTTTTTGCTGTCGCCCTTGCTGATGTCTCATGACAGTCACATGGCTTCTGGAAGGCTGTTGATAAAAGTAGCCGGGGTCTGTGGGGAATCGCATCGCCTTTCTGGTTCCTGTGATAAAGCTTCGCTTTCCCCACCTTCTTCCCCCGATGTCTCCAGAGCCCCGTATTTTATATTATGCAAAACTTTTTATGGCTGCTTATCAGAACAAACTGAGGCGAACCGGACGGCATTGGGGTTAACTTTATTAAGGTTTTCCACAGCAGGCGGGGCTGCGTGTGGCGGCCGGGCGAGGCTCCGGGGCCGGCACCAAGCGAGGTACAGTATACCTTTATGAGGCGCAGAATATCCGCGCAGTCCTCGGGCCGCGCGGCTCGGATATGGAAGGAGGCCATTTTCGGCGGCGTTTTCCCTTGCGTCCCCCACCTCTCGCGAGTCCCCGATAGTTGAAGAGCAAGAGAAGAAGTTTCTTCATTCGCGTCCCGGGCGCGGCGTTGGCGGCACAGGCACAGTCAGGCAGTCAGCATTCCCTTGGGCACCGAGAACAAAGCAAAGCCCAAAGAAAGAGCGCTCGTAGCACTTTCTGCCTAGATCGCTTCCTCTATATTTATAGTCTAGCACAGACCTCTCGGCCAATCAGAAACGCCACTTGACACGTCGTTCCTCCCTTTCATCCTCCTACTGATTACCTCATCTTTTTAGGAAATGATGCCCTGAGGCTGTCTAAACAGTGACTCACGCAGGCTTTGGGCTGCGCTGAGAGCACCATCTCATGGAGCAGCTTATTTTTCGTACGGAGATCTTTAAGCGTGGGAACGGGCATCTAGGATACCTAGATGCTTTGGAGTTCAGTTCTGATCAGTTCCAAGCAGTTTGGAAATGTGAATTAGTCCAAAACATGTGGAGGGAAACCAGGCTGCTTATCTTTAGCGTAGATCATTCTACTGTAATCCTCTTTCAAACAATTTCTTTCAATTCTGTAGCAGATGTTCTTTCAAAAGGCCCCCATATTTAGGACAACTATAAGCAGTTTTTACTTTGCAGCATCAGAATGGGACATGGATCAGGGAAATAACCAAAACTGATGCTCAGTGTAGAGGCTGCACAGCAGCTTGTGGTGTATTATAGAAGAGGTTTGCAAATTAACTCCCCATTCCATATGCCAATTCCTCAATCAAACAAAAACTCCTGTTAGCACTGCTCCAAAGCAGAAATACCATAAGGAGGAATTTCTGGAAAAAACTGCCTTCCATCATGGGTTTCTGAGAGGCCATATTTGAATCAGGAGGAACTTATATATAATAACTTTAAAAAACAATATAAAGAGTTGCTCAACTGTGAGATAGGTGGCAAATAATTTGAATAAATAAAGTAACTACCTTTATGTGCAGCAGTAATAAAGGTGGGCAGTGTTGTGTTCTTTCACAATTTAGTTTGAAGGTAGTTATTGGTACATTTCCTGCCACCCTTTCTCTTTCCATCCAGCATCATCAGTCCAATAGTTACAGCCTTAATTATAATTAAATTATCTATCCTTAATTTGTATTGACTGTGCTGACAGGACTGACAGTTGATACCCTTACACAACAATTTTACATAAACTCCCATATTTTCAGATATGGTAGCATCTATTAAATACTTTAATACAACTGTTGATTCCCTTGGACAGCAAAAGTCCTGTCAGATGTAGATCACTATTCTATACCTACCAGCTAAGGCCATTGTTGCCATTAGTTCCTCTCAGTTTCTTTTTGGACTTTCTCATTACTCTTGCTATAACAACTTTCACTCATGGTCCCTATTGATGCAGAACCAATTTGAACGTCTAGCCTTTCTAATTCTCCCCAAGGCTCTGGTAGAAGTTTTTCTCTTTGGCCAATGCTTGACCATTTGGCAGAACTTAAAATTCTTCTTGGCTTACTCACTACTGGACATATGGTAAATGTAGGTCTCTCCTGTTGGTGCCTTTTTAGTCATTGTTGTGGATTACCCTCAAATGTGTCTCAGTTCATTCTTGAATCTTTCTGAGACTTTCTTTCTCTGATCTTCCAGCAGCTTCCACAAGTTTGGGATTGAAACAAAGAACCTGCCTCCTGCTCCTCCAATCTCTTTCTTTTCTATCCTTCTATGCAGGATTCCTGGCTAACAGATATATTGGGATTTGGATGAAAATAAAAAAGACTAATTATCTGTGCTCTCACAACGAAAACCAAAATGTTTTGGTTGATTAAAAAAAAAAAGCAGCTTCTGTACTTGTGGGAAAACACTAGGAAGAAACATCCAGCTGGGTTGTTTTGTTTTATGAGTCCTGTAGTTTTGTTTTATGAATCCTGTAGTACGGTATCAGGCCTTTCTAGTCTAGCATTGTGGCTTTGAATGCACTATGAAACTCACAAACCTTGATTGGAAAAGGATACCCTCCATCCCAGTTATACTTAAGGTATATTGTCTATGACAGAATTTTTCAAACAATGCTCCATAGAATGCATGGTCCCATGAGAACTTGATGAATTTCTGTGAGGGACTAATGACACATACACACACACAAAAAAAATCACATAAACACAGCCAACACGGGTCCTGAGATTTTTATTGTTCTTAAGCTAACAGAATCTGAAAAAGTTGGAAAGCCCCTAGATTATGATTCAGGAAATGGCAGTCAGAAAGCCAAAAGGCTGAAGTTGGGACATATTTAACCTATTTGATTGTTAGAAGTTACGCATGACTAAGTGTTGTTCATGAGTAATAAGATATTTTGTTTTTAAAAATAATGTAACCAGTACATTTTATACATAAGTATAAAAATATTTATCTGGGGGAAAAATGAATAGCTTTACAGTTGTAAAAGAACATAACATAGAGAAAATCAAACTCTTCAATTACATTATTGCTTCTCCCCCAATCAATTATATCTCCAATAGAATATAGCCTGCAAAACAAATTAACAATGCAGTAGCAAAACCCATTTTCACATTGATCCTTCTTCCAAATGAACATGATGATCAATACATAATTGTGAAAAATGAGTTTATTTTAACATTTTGTTTGAAAACAAGGCCAGTTTTGTGGACAAATTTATAAGATGAGAGCAATCAGTGATTTGTGGGCTGCAACCCCGTCATATCCTTTTTGTACCCTCCTCCCAAATCTCCCCCAAGTAAACAAGGCCAGTTTTCCTTACTTATGTTTTTTGAGGTATTGAAGGTAAAAATAGATGCCTTAAATCTCATAAAAGTTGTGAGAATTTTTAGAGACACTTTGTAATGACCACTTCTCCTCACCCCAAAGACTTGACCTTTTGTCAGGCTTAAGACATTTCATCCCCTAAAATATTTGTTCCACTTTCCCATGACATCATGCCAGTATCAGCCTCTGCCCTCCCCATGTTTGGTTCTTTTTTTCCCCATTTAAAACCTTTTGTACATCACTGAGTTTCACACAGCAATTTATTACATCTACTTAATTTGGCTGTCTGACACTTTCTTCCCATTAAATGGGTTAGGTTAGGGTAAACTAGTTGATTGATGATTGGCAGTTATTTCTGAGAATCTGTTATCCACACAGTAATTATAATTACATCAAGGATACCATGCCCCTTGATTATGTGTGCAGCAGACAGAAGCTTTTTGGATATGAGATTTTAAGACTAGTGGTCTGCAAAAAGGAAACCGAGCCCAGTAATCAGAGACCACCATTCCTCCCCCATAATGGTTTGTGCAGCTGAAGCACGACTGATGAAAAAGAGCTGTCCCCTCCTCCCCCCACGCAGTGATTCCCCTATTTGATCAAAGATCACTAGGCAGTTGATCAATGAAATCAAGAGCTGGACTTCTAAATTCAAGTAAGAACCGAGCGCAGCTTCGCTGTAGGAAAGGGGCGCGTCAATATATCTGGTAGGAGGGAAGACCACAAAGCCTTCCTGAAGAATGGGAATGTCTGAGCCAGTCTAGCCAGCACAGCCAAGTTCCTGTTCCAGGCGTGGTTGTTGATAGACGGCACCCGCGACTTAACAGTACGGCTCTAGCGGAGAGGGGCCAAAGCAGCGGTTTTTAGGTCTCGGCGCCGGGCGTTTTAGCGATCTCTGGAACAAAATGCTGTCGCGCAGGTGAGTGATTTATAGCAACTTCAGCACTTTCCTTGATCCTGCCTTTGCAACAAGCTAGGTGGGCCCTGAGCGAAAAAAAAAGAGTAACGAGTCGGGAGCGGAACACGCTTCGGTTGGTTTAGGCGGGTACTGTAGGGGATTTAAGGCGGCGGTTTTCTTTGTACAATCGCCTCGCAAAACGAATCGTTGCCTAAGGGCAAAGCCCGCCCTCTGACTATTTCGTGGGCCTAGAGTCCTTCGACTTGCGCAGTGTGAGGAAAAAAAACACTTGGGTGGAGAAAAGCCACCGCCTGGATCTTGAACGTTGCTGTTTTGGTTCTGCGCTTTCTTTTCGCCCACCGATAAGCGTAGCACAGTAGGATTCACTGCATTCTGGAGAGTTAGATTTATTGCAGCCCCTTCCGCAAACGAGGATCGTACTCTGCAATGTCGCTTCCCCCAATCTTGCTTCCTTGAGTTGTAGGAAGCTTCACGGTCTTTGTGAAATCCGATATAATTCCGTAAACTATGGTTTACAACCCATCGTGGCTAAGGCAATACCAAACAGCCACATAAAGACTTAACGTATTGGGTAAATCAGGGTTTATGTTAAAACTCCAGTGCAGTTGGTTTATTTTGGATTAGCACAGTTTGTTACTTAAGGTTTTAGTGTGTTCTGGGATATTTAGAAACATTTTTCCATATTTGGAAATGAAAATTGCAAATTTTCCTTTGCTTACCATACTGCTTTCGTTGTATATTGGGACATGATCAAAGAAGTAGAGCTGCAAGGGCCTGGGTGGCAGAAAATAGGAACGATGTAGTTCAGATATCCCAGTGCCCCACTTTGACCACAGATCCCAATCCAATATGGAACCAGTCTGCTATCCTAATTCTACTCTACTCTATTCATTTTCTACTCTACTCTACCCTACTATATTCTACCCTACTCTATTCTACTCTACCCTCCTGAAACTTAGACAAGAGTCCTACTGTAGACAACTGAGTGTATTAATATTTTCTATCTTGCATCCTCTTTAAGGGGATCAAGTGACCAGCCTCTGGATGTTGACATAAATGTCAGATGTATTTAGAAGATTGACCATGCCCCAATGCTTTTGGTCACTGCTCAACCCCACCACAGTTGTTTTTCTTCTGATTATTGCCCTTTTCAGTTAGGATTATGCTTTCATTCTGTTTAATTTTTATCTAACTGTTCAGATTTTATATATATATAAAGGAAAAAGAGAGAAGAATAGAAGGAGAAATGGTCTTGTTTAAAGACCAACATGGGATCAGGGCAAATAAAGCAGCTCTAGTTTTACTTGTTACGGAATCCTGATTTTTACATATTTTTCTCAAGCTATGAGGCTGATAGAATAGATGGATGACAACACCGGAGAGAAAGAGAGGCAAATGGAGGAGCATATAAGCATATTGACTAGTGAGGACAATAATGTTTGGCACAAAGCCCCCATAGATATTACAGGACCAGGATGGAGGAAATAATTTGGACAAATTTGGAATGGCAATATTTTTGGCCAACTCAAGGAAGATAGGCTAAGATTTAATCCAATAGTGGGAAATAGCTACAAAATGGCATATGGTTAGTGGAAATAAATAGTCAAAGCTTATACCCTATTCAGCTATGTCGATTGCTTTGGGCTAACAATCTTAACTACTGGAATGAAGTTTGATGTCAGATGAAATCTCAGAACAGGCTTATTTATAATCATTCTGGAAAGAGTAATGCACAAGTTCCTAGGAGTACTCTGGAAACAGTCTCTTTGTGCAAAGATTCTTGTAAATTCCAAGCATGTGTCATATGAAGCTAGGGAGACACAGCCCTGTACAATATGCTGTCTCATTTCATTTCTTTCTCCATTTGCAAATGAAAAATGATTTTGATATGTTCAATAATTATTCTTGCCTGGATAGCTTTTGAAATATTTCCCCCCTCAATCATTGGAAAGCAAATTCTTTGTGCATATGATTATATGTGGATGTAGATTAAATAGATTATGGGATTCTGCATAAGTGTGAGGATGATCACCCTTTTGAAACTGTTATGCCATTGGATAGGATGCATTTATTGATTGATATCTCATTATTTTTATAAATAACTCAAGGCAGCAAGCAGACACAATTGATACCTGTTTTATGGCAACTTATTTTGCATATTGCCAGTTTAAGGTATTCCAGGGGTGACTCTGGATAAGAATTTTGTGGTTGTAACCCTAACATATCTGGAGGACATTAAAATAGAGGAAGATAGTTCCATTCAATATATTGACCTTGAATCTAGGATTAAGGAGTCCAATGCTATGCTGTATTATTGACAATTCTCTATTTTCTTTTGATACAGATGGTTTTCATTAAGCAAGGCCCATCCTATCCTGTTTAGGATGCTGACATCATCCAGCAGTGGTTCCCAGGTTATTCAGAACATGGAAGAAGGTAATGTAACTACTGTAATAGTAAATTCAGAAATTTATAATTGTCTGTGTTGTTCCTTTTCCTCTGGAATAAAACTATCAATATATTGGATTTAGTGATTTGTCTATCTATTTTTTAGAAGATGTAGAATTAATTAGAAGAGTAAAATAATCAGGATTCTTTTTTAGTTTTCTGTTAGTGACAAAGCTTTTTATACCAAATATATTTTGGTCAGATCTTACTGGTAATTAAAAACTTTTTTTCCCAACAGAGATTTAGTTGAAACAAATAAATAGATATGGGAATATGAAACTGAAGAAAAAAATAAACTCATCCACTTTGATCTTCTGCCATGCTGTATTTGGCTGGAAAATTAATTAATTTTAACTTTTGGGCAGAAGTAGGTTATCAGTACTGCAGAATATATTAATATGTACTTGAGCATACCATCTTGTGTGATTGATTTGAAAAATAATAGTTATTTTTCTTTCCCCCTTTTTAAAAAGGTTTCCCTGATAGTCTAATTGTTTTTTCTTTCACAGGACATTTCCCCATTCATGTGAAAAATGGTGTGTTGTGGTAACCTGTATGCTTTTTAATATGACTGTCTGCTCTGTTATGCTTCTTCTGCCTTTATTGGAGGTTTAATGAAAAACTTAAGTTCATATTTTCTGGCAATTCTGACATTCCTCTTAATGGTACTAAATGGGTTTATATTATTAAGCAAATGAAATCTGTCTTACTAACCAAAATGCAAATTATATATGTGTGCTGTTTTTCATAATTAACCTATAGCTAGTTAATCATCTGCAATTTTATATCCTCTTGCCTTCTTGGCCTATGCTTGCAATTTATTTATTTATTAAATTTCTATTTCTATCTCTGAGCACTCCAAAAGTTATGTCCTCTTTACTTCTGGGCTAAAAAAGGCGTCTGTCCCAAAACATATTTAGATGGGAACTTGAACTCTAAATCTTAGTACCCTGGTTTGTCATCCATCTGAAATCCTTAGGCACTTACCTGCTTTCTGCCAGTGGAATACATTCTTTTCTTTGCTGACCAATCTAAGCAAATGGCAGGTATGAAATGTTCGGAAATAAATGTCAGGTCCAACGGTATATTATTTCATCCATCGATCTTATTTGTACTTTCTTTAGAGGATTTATTCCACTTCTTACCTTGGTCTTATGTTTTTTTCTTCCTCAGGACATCTTGTAATCTCACTCATGTTTTTGGCCAAAGCAAAGCAGCCAAGGGTGCTTCCAAAAAAGAGTCTTATCCTCTACTTGCCCTTCTTTATCAGTTTTAACGGGGAGATCAGATAATTTCATTTTCCATTTGAAATATTCTTGTATTTCTCCAGAGTAAAAATATTAAAGCTATGCAGTGCTTCATATTGAAAGGAAAATAGGTGCTTCTCGTACATATACATGTAGCATCTATCACAAATACTTTAAACAGAGTGCTTTTCTTCTTGCACAGTCCTTGGAAAGATGCAGCTGCTTTAAGTAGCTGCCCACAATTGCTACATGGGTGTTTACAATCCCTACTATTGCTCGCTCCCACAGTCTCAGTGGGAGGGTATCTGGTTGCTGCCCCCACTATTTTTCAATAGAGAAAACTCTTTTTGTATTTTTACTTGGAAAAGATTGGTGAAACACATTTTTAGCATTCTGTAAGGAACAGAGTGGCTGGGATATATGATAGGTTACAGTCCTTTTCAGAAACAGACTGTAGATTTCAGAATATTGTAGAAGTTTATTAGGCATTTATTTTCAATCATACTTATTTTGCGTACTTTTTACATTTGCTAGTTTTTATTATTTATTTTATACCTACCTTATTTGCTCAGTGCTGAATGACCATTTTTCATATTTATAACCATTGCAGCATCCCCATAGTCCCCATGTTTCTACTTTGAAGGTGCTTCTGACACGAATAAAGAATTATGCAGTTAATGTTAAGGAGTTAATTGAAGACAGTAGGATAAAGGAAAAGAAAATCTGACAGAACTTTTGGGTTTAACCCAGTTAACCTCTAGGTGTGATGTTTGTGTGTGCATGTATGCACATGCGCACACACAGACACACAATATAGGTAGAATGAAATAGGACTCAAGGTACAAAGAAACAATTTGTATCAATCTACAGGTAGCTCTCGTTTATGACCACAACTGAGCCCAACATTTCTGTTGCTAAGCAAGACATTTGTTAAGTGAGTTTCCCCCCATTTTATGACCTTTCTTGCCGCACATGTTAAGTGAATCACTGCTGTTGTTAAGTTAATGATTGTTAAGTGAATCTGGCTTCTCCATTGACTTTGCTTGTCAGAAAGTTGCAAAAGGAGATCACATGATCCCAGGACACTGCAACCGTCATAAATATGAGTCAGCTGCCAAGCATCCAAATTTTGATTTCATGACTATGGGGATGCTGCAGTGGTCATAAATGTGAAAAATGGTCATAAGTCACTTTTTTCAATACTGTTGTAACTTCAAATGGTCACTAACTGAACTGTTGTAAGTCAAGGACTATCTGTATAATACAATTTTTTTAAAAAAAGATTCCAACTCTCATGTAACTCTCCATAGGTGCTATTCCCTTCTGATTCTCCCACATTTCCTTAGTTATGTTTTTTTTTTTTCTTATCTAGTTGAAGCCAGATTGGGAGTGATGCCCCTGTGCTCTGTGAAAGGCAACATGAAGCCTATTGCCTCTCCTTTTAGCTTAACGCTCCTGATTAGTTGCTCAGAATTTAAGTATATCAGGCTGATGTGCTATAAATCTTTATTTATTTGATAAAGTAAGTCTTGAATCAAAATTAGTTTTAAAAATGATTAGATTTGTTTTATTGTTCTACGTCACCAGTTTTTAATGTTCCTTTTCTATTGGAGTGTGACATTTTGACTAAAGCACAAATGCTGATGGCTATGATTGAGATGTGTCAGAAAATGCATCTGATTTGTTTATAGAATCTAAATGTGAATTTTCAGATGTGTATTGGTATCCTATTAGTTATGTAAAGGTAAACCTGTTCCTTGTTTAAATTTTCCTTGCAGTTTTAGGACAAATGAGTATGGATATGTATATACAGTGACCTGATTTGAATATTTATTTTGGAATGTCAAACCTGTCTTGCTGGGTAACACTCAAGGGTAGGCCATGATATCCAAATATTCTTGTATGATCCTTCGTGGTTTTTAACGGTATTGTTTTGTTCTTTTTGAATTCCTGTATGCCATTCAGGGTTGTGAAGGAGTAGGCAGCCTGAAATTTAAATTCAAAAGAAATAAGTTTCCTAGATAACTGGATTTTTTGAAAATTAAAATGTTATAGAAACAAGAAAGCATGCCATTCATTGGAATCTCAGTGAACCTGACCAGCTTTTGCTTTTCAGTCATTCTTTGCATGCCTTCTGCTTACACTTCTGCTTTTCAAAAGTGCAATACTGTAGTGATCCTTGGTCAGATTTATCCCATTAAATACTTCTGACTGGGTTTTATTTTGTTTCAGTGCGAAGTAAATTGAGAGAGATAGTGGGAGCATCCACCAATTGGAGGTATGGTACTGTATACATAAACCATGGTACAACTGCATTTCTTAGAGGTGAAAGAGGGCATTACAATATATTCTTGCAGATTAATAATGGCCAGTAGCTGCTTAATAAAGTAAACCTATGATTTAACTGGCTAATGGGGGAAAGAGAGTGTATGAGACTAGAATGCCAATTAAGTACAAATGAGATTTTATACATGCCTAACTATCAATTGGATTTTGTCCATTGCATCTGAAGTCAAACTGAGGTTTGGTACTGGACTTGATCATACATATATTATTTTCTAAATAAATCACACGCCTTTGGGAAAACCCAGCATTGTTGCTGTCAGCCTTAAAAAACAAAAGATTTCTGAAATTGCAATTAGCAAAGATTAACTATTATTTCTCAGCAGCTTCTTCTGGTCAGGTTTAATATTCTGATTTTTACCCATATGGCATAATCTGATTTTGCTTTTCCCTTCCACCAGAGACCACGTGCAAGCGATGAATGAAAGAAAAGCCTTAGATACACTCCTTGCTAAAACCCAAGCTGACCTGCCCCCTAGGAAAATGAAAGACAGCTATATAGAAGTCATCTTGCCTTTAGGAAGCCAGCCCGAAATAAGAGAAAAATATCTCAATATGCAAAACACTGTCAGGTAAAGATAGACTACTTTTATTGTTCTGTAAAATAAAACACTTGGTTGTTGGTGCTGTAATATGCATACAGGTTAATTGCTGTATAATATTTTAGGTTTGGTCGAATTCTTGAAGACCTTGACAGCTTAGGAGGTATGTGGTACTTATATAATTTCATTTTTTTCTAGTGATCTGATAGGTTGGAAACATTTGAATACATTTGGATTATATATTTATAACATCTATATCATTGTTAATTAAACATATTGTATAGGGATAGCTTTAAAACTGGCTACTCTCTTTTGGAACTACTGAAGTGATATTACAATTAGCATTGTTCTTAATGACTATGGCTCCATGGGTAAGATGAAAATTGGTAATGAACTGCCTCAGTGGGATCAGTGAAGGAAGGTAGAAAAATTTGTTCATCTTTTGAAATTTTTTGTCCCCATCTATTCTGAAAGCAGTTATTATGCTTAATGAATTAAATTGAGTTAATTATTTAGAACTCCTTTAAAAGTGCAGCTAACATTATTATGATTTCCTGCTTAATGTATTTTTTGTAGCAATGAAAAATGCTTTTGGAATGTGTGTTGTGTGCTTTCCACTGCCAGATTTGCTTTATTAATTCATTACTTATAAACTTTTTATTTATATAAACTCTATAACAAACATATAAACTGAAAACATAATATTAAGTTCTATGTAATCCAAACTAAAAAACAGTTTAACCAATTAACTGTTAAAAGTTTGGCAGCAGCTTTTGTTATTTTCCTGCTGTGTGTGTGTGTGTGTGTGTGTGTGTGTGTGTGTGTGTGTGTGTGTGTGTGTATATATATATATATATATATATATATATATATATATATATATATATATAAAATCAGCTATGCAAGTAAAAATATGACTCTTGGGTATGTTCATATTAAAATCAATAAATAGTTGAACACCAAGAGAATAAAATTATACAAAAGTTAAAAATGTTAAAAACTTTTATTTACTAAACCTAGCTTTCGGCAAGAGCTCTTGACATCATCAGGGTGTAAACGGCAGTCATTGGGAGGGCTTATATGCAGCCTCCAATCATTTGCGCTCGGCTCTTGGATCGTGTCATAGGTCCCAGCTGTGTGCGTTGTAATCCAAGTGTGTGTCCTGCATTAGGGTGTAGTTGTTTCTCACCCTTTCTACGTGTGCTGTTACGTGTGTCTTTCTCGCTAGTTCTAAAATTAGCTGGGGCATTTCCCCTTTCCTTGCAGTTAGTGCATGTTTCACTAGTTTCCCGTTTGTGATTCTGTCTGTCATGGGCAGTAGTTGCTGTTTTCTGTTTCCTTCTAGTTCCTCCAACCATCCCCTCCGAGCCACGTTCCAATCCTCCTTTTCTCTCAGATCGTAGCCCCCGTGTGCCATTCCGTCCTGCGCCGCTCTCCCTCCTATTCTTTTCCATCACTCCCTTAGATCTATCATCACTCTCCTCCCTATATTCTTGGGAGGAGTCGTTCTGGAGTGTGTGCCTGTCAGTAAGGCATTGCCTAGCTCGTAACCGGTCAATCCGTTGCTCACTCCATTTGGGGCTTCTGTCCTCATCCCTCATCGGAGAATCTCCCAGGCACGCTCTGTTCGTAGTCTTCTGTCCTCCCAAGGGATCAATCACTACAGAGCTATTCCCCTCCCTCTCACAAACCAGCCCAACTAGCGTAACGAGGGTGTCTGTTTCACTCCCCGGAGGGTAAATCATTCCCCCCGGCATGTGTGATTGTAGTCCGAGCGCTCTATCGTATGCTGTATTTCCTATTCCTCCCCCCACAGTTGTTATCTCCGTTTGTATTTCTCCTATTGAACTGATTGGGAGGGCCTCGCTCTCTCTTTCCTGCTGCAATTCAGTTGTCAAAGCACCTCCACTCGCTCCGTTCATCGGGAAGTTGTTCCATAATTGACAGTCAGGTTTCTGGTGGCTGTTTGTCATTTGTGGGGGATTTTTCAAAGTTCTACCGTCTTGGTCCGAAGCCAAGGGAATGTCCATTTGGTCGTGTTGTGTGTGGGGGGATGTCCTATTCTTCTCCCACACATGTGGTCGATGCCTAGGTCTTCTCCAGCAGTTCAAGCGACGGTTCATGTGCCATGTTTGTAAGGTCCGTTGTGCCGGGCACATGTCTATATGGCGATTAATGGAATTTTCCCCCGAAAACCAGGCCTCCTTTAATAGGCGGCCCCCCTTTGTGGCATCACAGGCCAAGATTTGTGTGTGGTCAAAATCAAAGTTATGGCCACTTTCGGCCATATATGACCAGATCTGCGAGTATTGCTCGCCCCTCTTGATTGCCAACTTATGTTCATGTAGGCGGGTCTTCAGCCTTTTTGATGTTTCCCCTACATAATTACTGTGGCAACCCATGCAATCAATTTTATAAACCACGGCAGACCTTTCTGCGGTGGGAAGGGGATCTTTGGGGCGCATGATCTTTGATCGCAGAGTCTGGTCAGGTTTATGTGCCACTCTTATGCCATGGGGGGCCAGCAGTCTGGCTGTGGCTTCGGACACGTTATGAATATACGGTAGGGAAATGCGTGTTAATTGTCCTTGGGGGGAGTTTCTTGGTGGTCATACCTGGGTATCCTGCTGTGACGTTTTATGAATCGTAGCAGATATCCATTGAGTTGGCAAATCCGGTACAAATGTCTCCTCTCTTCCTCCTTTGCTTCCACTGTGCTGCAATGCAAATGCACACGCTTGAACAGTGTTTTAATGCACCACAGATGGCATCGGATGTTGTCCAGGGAAGAGATAGAGGCCCTGGAGCAACTTAAGAACAACAGCTCCATAGTTGTACTACCAGCAGACAAAGCGAGGGCCACTGTGGTGCTGGATAAAGCAGCCTATGTGACCAAGGCACTGGAGTTGCTCGATGACAGAACGGCCTACAAGGTCGTTAAGAGAGACCCCATGACAACAATGAAGAATAAGATTAACAAACTATTAGATAACCTTAAGCGTGCCAAAAGAATAGATGATGACACCTTGAAGAAAGTACGTCCCAGTGACTCAGCACTTCCTAGGTTCTATGGGTTGCCAAAGGTTCATAAGGAAGGTACTCCACTTCGCCCCATTGTTTCTTTCAAGGGCACACCAGTCTTTGGACTGGCGAAGTGGCTTAGTGGACGTATCTCCTATTTAGTGAATGGTGCACCCACAGTAGTTAAATCCTCAGAGGAGTTCCTTGAAAGAATCAAGGCACTTAGGGTGGAGGAGGACGAGGTGATGGTCTCGTTTGACGTCACCTCACTGTTTACCTCCATCCCTCGTGACCTTGCTGTCACTGTTCTGAGGAATCAGTTAAGGAGACAAGAGGATTCCCCACATCGGGACTCCCTGAGAGTAGAGGACCTAGTGAAACTCATAGAGATGTGCTTGGTCACGTACTTTACTTTCCAAGGTGTCACATATGAGCAAATAAAGGGCACGCCCATGGGCTCTCCTATTTCCAGCGTGATAGCAGAGGCAGTTCTCCAGCAACTGGAACGTGAGGCTATGTCCCAGTACCAGCCCAAATTTTGGGCTCGGTACGTTGACGACACGTTTGTTGTCGTCAAACGATGTCAAAAAGCCAACTTTATGGGAATACTCAATTCGGTTTATCCGGATATTAGGTTTACGGTGGAGGAGGAGAGCCAGGGCTCGATAGCCTTCTTAGGTGTACTTGTCCAACGAACACCAGAGGGCTTAGTACATATGAAGGTCTATCGCAAGCCCACCCACACGGACCGAATCCTCCACTATAACAGCAACCACCCAGTATCCCATAAAGTTGGCTGTATTAAAACGCTGTTCAAGCGTGTACATTCGCATTGCAGCACGGTGGAAGCAAAGGAGGAAGAGAGGAGACATTTGTACCGGATTTGCCAACTCAATGGATATCCGCTACGATTCATAAAACGTCACAGCAGGATACCCAAGTATGACCACCAAGAAACTCCCCCCCAAGGACAATTAACACGCATTTCCTTACCGTATATTCATAACGTGTCCAAAGCCACAGCCAGACTGCTGGCCCCCCATGGCATAAGAGTGGCACATAAACCTGACCAGACTCTGCGATCAAAGATCATGCGCCCCAAAGATCCCCTTCCCACCGCAGAAAGGTCTGCCGTGGTTTATAAAATTGATTGCATGGGTTGCCACAGTAATTATGTAGGGGAAACATCAAAAAGGCTGAAGACCCGCCTACATGAACATAAGTTGGCAATCAAGAGGGGCGAGCAATACTCGCAGATCTGGTCACATATGGCCGAAAGTGGCCATAACTTTGATTTTGACCACACACAAATCTTGGCCTGTGATGCCACAAAGGGGGGCCGCCTATTAAAGGAGGCCTGGTTTTCGGGGGAAATTCCATTAATCGCCATATAGACATGTGCCCGGCACAACGGACCTTACAAACATGGCACATGAACCGTCGCTTGAACTGCTGGAGAAGACCTAGGCATCGACCACATGTGTGGGAGAAGAATAGGACATCCCCCCACACACAACACGACCAAATGGACATTCCCTTGGCTTCGGGCCAAGACGGTAGAACTTTGAAAAATCCCCCACAAATGACAAACAGCCACCAGAAACCTGACTGTCAATTATGGAACAATTTCCCGATGAACGGAGCGAGTGGAGGTGCTTTGACAACTGAATTGCAGCAGGAAAGAGAGAGCGAGGCCCTCCCAATCAGTTCAATAGGAGAAATACAAACGGAGATAACAACTGTGGGGGGAGGAATAGGAAATACAGCATACGATAGAGCGCTCGGACTACAATCACACATGCCGGGGGGGGGAATGATTTACCCTCCGGGGAGTGAAACAGACACCCTCGTTACGCTAGTTGGGCTGGTTTGTGAGAGGGAGGGGAATAGCTCTGTAGTGATTGATCCCTTGGGAGGACAGAAGACTACGAACAGAGCGTGCCTGGGAGATTCTCCGATGAGGGATGAGGACAGAAGCCCCAAATGGAGTGAGCAACGGATTGACCGGTTACGAGCTAGGCAATGCCTTACTGACAGGCACACACTCCAGAACGACTCCTCCCAAGAATATAGGGAGGAGAGTGATGATAGATCTAAGGGAGTGATGGAAAGGAATAGGAGGGAGAGCGGTGCAGGACGGGATGGCACACGGGGGCTACGATCTGAGAGAAAAGGAGGATTGGAACGTGGCTCGGAGGGGATGGTTGGAGGAACTAGAAGGAAGCAGAAAACAGCAACTACTGCCCATGACAGACAGAATCACAAACGGGAAACTAGTGAAACATGCACTAACTGCAAGGAAAGGGGAAATGCCCCAGCTAATTTTAGAACTAGCGAGAAAGACACATGTAACAGCACATGTAGAAAGGGTGAGAAACAACTACACCCTAATGCAGGACACACACTTGGATTACAACGCACACAGCTGGGACCTATGACACGATCCAAGAGCCGAGCGCAAATGATTGGAGGCTGCATATAAGCCCTCCCAACGACTGCCGTTTACACCCTGATGATGTCAAGAGCTCTTGACGAAAGCTAGGTTTAGTAAATAAAAGTTTTAACATTTTTAACTTTTGTATAATTTTATTCTCTTGGTGTTCAACTATTTATTGATATATATATATATATATATATATATATATATATATATATATATATATACATATATACATATATACATATACATATACATACATATATATATATATATAGTACATTGTACAATATTACTTGCTGTAATAAATAAATAAATTACCCCCACTAGTCTTAATTTGGCAGACTGAACTCTGTTTAAGTCTATAAACTTGTACATTTAAAAATGTCTAAGTTCTAAGAGTAATTAATATAGCATCTCTCTGTATTTATTTGTTTACAGTTCTTATTTGTTATACTCACACAAAACATGAAGCTACTTTGAAATCTCCTTTATCAATTGTTACAGCACTCGTGGATAAAATTGGTAGGTGTTTAATTATTAATGGGTTAATATCTGTCTGGAAAGTTCACATTGTGTTATTCAGTGAAAAAAGAGCTAAGATTTAAACCTGAAATTGGAAGGAAGGTGCAAAAAAAGAAGACAAAGCTCTCCTGACACTTTTAGATGAACTTTTTCAGGAATAACTACATGTTCTGATGAATATACATTTGTTGCCAACATGGCATTTTTGAATCTAACCTCTCCATTTTGCTTGAACGTCCAACTGAATAAATATATGACTTCATAGGCTAGATATTATAACACATTGTATCCCAGATACTGTATTATAGAAACAGAAAAGACAGGCAGATGTGTTATTACTTTTTTCTGGAAAAATTAAATAATGGTGTTTAACATTTTAAAAGACCAAATTCTTGCAAGATTACCAAGAATGTCAATGTTCTTGCTTAAGTTGCTGTGGAAAATAATCGATACTATAATGTTGCATGAAGCTTCCTGTTGCCAGAAAAGGTTGCTTGACCCCAAATTGATTTCTTAGAAGTAGTACTGTCCCCCCTTGGATAAATGTTAATTATCCATCCTTAGAATCTGTGCTCTGACTCCCTTCTTCTATCTTTTTAGGTTTATGGAAACAGCATATTCATCCGGATTGTGATATCAAATTTACTGGGAATGTTTCCTGGGTTGGAAAAACTTCAATGGAAGTGAAGATACACATGCTTCAGGTTAATGGCAGTGAGCTTCATTTGCTCATAAGAGTTTTGAATTTAGATTCTTACATTTGGCAAGCTATACTGCATCTTGTAATAAAATCCTGTGGCAGGTTAGCCAAATAGTAAAACAGTATTTAAAAGGAATAAGTACAAACTGGAATGTAACATCCATGTTTATTAAAGTATATTTTGGTCTGCTTGAAGAGAATGTGATTTTTGACTGGCATAATTAAATTGACAAGGAGAATCTTACTTATAAACCCTTTTAAATAAATATTGGCAGTATGTATTCTACTTATCACTGCATACAGATTCTAATCATGTTTTCCCCCTCTCATATTCTTTTATTTTAGTTACTTGATGGAATCTATTGCCCTGTGTTAGATGCAACTTTTGTCATGGTCGCCCGTGATCCAGAAAATAAAAGGTAATGTTCCTAGCAGTTTATTTAAGAAATCAGTGAGGAATGCAAGTGATGGTCAAAGATGATGAACATGTTGACCTTCAAGAATTGTGGAACTTCAACCACTATCAGCCCCCGGGTGCATGACCAGAGGAAAGCTGAAGGTTCTAGTTCAGCAATATCATAGGTTCTCCACTGTGTTCAGTCAGATATAGATGTTTCCATTTTTTTCTGTAACTTTCCAATTACAGGTAGTCCGCATTTAATGATCCCCATTGCAACTATTGCTAACTAAAGTGGTGGTTAAATGAGATATCGTGTGATCACGAGTTGCAATTTCCTGCTGGCTTTCCCATTGACCTTGCTTGTTGGAATCCAACTAGGAAGGTTACAAATGGGGATTCCTGACTGTGGGATGCTACAACAATTGTAAATGTGCAATAGTTGCCAAGAGCCCGAATTGCGATCACATGACCATAGAGATGCTACAACAGTTGTAACTGGGAGGACTGGTCATAAGTCATTTTTTTCCGCCCATTGTAATTTGAACAGTCACTAAGTATGTTGTTTTTAAGCGATGATTCCCTGTATTGTGAATAGCTGTAAAATGCAGCTCTGATTTCTGTGTCACCCGTCCTCCTCAGATCCTATTTTTGCCTTTCATTCAATGTTATTAGTTTAGTTTGCTAGTTTTGAAATTGGCTTAGAGCTGTAGCAAAAAACTGTACGGGATTGCATTTTTGGTGTTAAACATACATATGTCTGAAAATAGTTTATTGCTTATTTTATTATTTTATTTATTTGAGTTCTAGATTCAAAAAATATGCTAGGGATGCTGACCTATTATATTAGTATTGGTGTCTTATTTGTTTACTTAGTATACTATTTATTTTGCCATAACTAGAGTTCTCTGAGTAGCATGTGGTCACTTAAAATGTATAAAACATAATAAATCAGTTCAAAAAGAAAAAGGAAAATAGCAGAAGAGAGCTAGATATAAAATAAAAACTAAGAGCATCAATATTAATGGCAATAAAACCTATAAGGCAGCAACAAAATGAATGGTTCAAAATACCAAATTATGTCAGACTATGTGGCTGTACGGTATTTTACATTGAAGGCAAAAAGGAGTTTTAGAGTGCACAGGTAATGAATGTAGCTCCTATTAACAATTCCTTATAGCAGCTGGGCCTTATTTTCAGCCATTGTAGGATCCATAGAGATATTTAACTCCAGACAGGAGTTATATTTTTGTTATGTATTTATGTAAAGTACTTGGAATCAGTTATAAATAAGTAACTGTTGTGTCCGTTTAAACTCCAGACTGCCTGTCTGCAGAATTGTAAGTTTGTGTTTTGGGTGGGAATAACTGCTTTAATTCCATTGGCTGCTGCCTCTCAGCGGTCCGTATAAATAGAAGTTAAGCGGCTGTTAGAGCCGCTTCTGTGTTAACCAATAAACGTGTTGTTATTTTCACCTTCGCCTCCTCAATGCCTCAAAGATCCCAGTACATAATAGTTTCCCTGCATGCTCTGGAGCAGTGATTCTCAATCTTTCTAATGCCGTGACCCCATAATACAGTTCCCCATGTTGTGGTGACCCCCAAGTGGGTGTGGCCACCAATAAGAGGGAGTAGGACAGCTAGGGAAAAGGGAAAAAAATGGCGGACAGCATGGTTTGGTGACCCCCGTGAAATGGTCATTCGACCCCAAATGGGGTCCCGACCCACAGGTTGAGAACCACTGCTCTGGAGCATGTTTTGGCTTCACATCTGAAGTGCTACACTGTCCTAGTGGTCTGCATTGACTGTCCTCTTTAGATAATTGTCTTTTCAAGTTAAATCATTTGTGTTGAGTAAAAATAAGAAAAAAAAGTTGTATTAAAACACAAAAATAGACACACAGATTTCTCATTGCAAATGAACTTGTACATAAGTAACTATGTTGGTTTGTAGCTCAAAACATTTCATTTTCCCTCTGTAATGCACGTTGTTTTTTAAAAATATATCCTCAGACCAGCATTTGTCAATCCATTAATTGTTGAAACCCCGGAGGAAGAAAAAATCTTCAGGGAAGGAGAAAGTAAGTACTCTCCTAATCTGGTTTTTTTTTTTTGGGGGGGGGGGAACAGTGGAGAAATATTTTTTTGTGGCCATTCCTAAATAATTGGGGGAAACATAGGTTCTTTGGGAGTGAAATAATTTAGTACCTACAGTGGTCTAAAGCATGCTTACAGATTTCAGAAAAGTATATTCATCAGTTTTGAAAAAGGGATGAAATACAGCTGTTGGAAGCGATTGTCATTCATTTTACATATTTCATTCCATTGATCAGAGAACAAGATCAGGCGGCTTGAATCTAGTAGGGCTTCTTTATTGAAGGTTGCACCTACTGAAGATGAAAGAAATATTATCCACAATATATTCCTGAATACTCTGGATTCAAGGTAGGCAGTTCAGTTATAAACATTTATCACCATTTTTCAAACTTGATGCATTCCATGTATATTAGGATTACAATTTGGAGCAGAGGTCACCAACCTTTCTTGGTTGGCGGACCGGAAGAAAAGGGAGGGGGAATCATTTTATGCATGCGCGCGCATGCACAGGGCTGCGGGCATGCGTGTGACGCAAATGGGGCGGGCTAGCGCTTGCGTGATACTCACTAGCACTGCCCCATTCTTGTGCATAGTGCCCTGTTTCTGCGCCCCAGGTGCGGCATTGGCCCCTTTTTGTGCACCAAGACGTGACGTCATACCATTTTTGCATCCTGAGGTGTGGCATTGGCCTGTTTCTGTGCAGCACAGCAGTGCAACTTCCTGTTTTTGTGCCTCGTGGTGTGGCGGCATTCTGTTTTTGTGCAGCGCGGCAGCGGCTTATTTTTGCATCCCGTGGTGCTGTGGTGGCCTGTTTTTGCTCCCTGAGGCGCAGTGGCATCCCGTTTTCACACCCCAAGGTGCGGCAGTGGCCCGTTTTTGCACCACGTGGCACGGCCTCCTGTTTTTGCGTCCCGCGGCTTGCAGCGCTAGCGCGAGTGGGGTGTGTATGCGCACATATGTGCGCACTGGCCAGCCTGTACTGCAGCCCGGTGACCAGCAGCCCATGGCTCACTACTGGGCTGCAGCCCACAGGTTGCGGACCCCTGATTTGGGGGACTCCCAGAGAGCATGGTGCAGTAGTTGAGCTGCTGGACTGTGACTAGGTAGAGTCAGGTTTAAATTTATTCTCAGTAATAAGTGCATAGTGGGTAACTGTGAGCCAGTCTATCAGATTAACCTACTTCACAAGAAGGTTGTTATAGAGAAGAATTGGAGGAGGGACAGTTTGAAAACAAAAATATGTTTATAGCATAGTATTGGGAAAGAATAACAAGATGTTCTTGGATTCTCCAACATCTATATCAAATATGGAGTCTCCAGATATTGTCCTGCGGTGCCATCAATCCTCATCATTGACCATCCTGCTTAGGTCTCAGAGAAGACAAGGTAAGATATGTAGGGGAACTTAAGGTCCTATTCCCATGCTCAGCATGTGGACGAAGTGGTATCCATATAATTTTAGGTAAAGGTTGAAATTCACAATATTGAAATAAAACAATGTTCTTGACAATTTTACATGTCCTTCTCCATTTTTTAGGACAGTAAGTTTTCGTAGTCGGATATTGCCACCCAATTCAGTATGGATGCAAGACACAAAATTAAAGGGTTTGGAGATCTGCCATCCACAGGTATTTACTGAGCTATAGCTGATGTAGACTAATCCTTATGCTTGACTCTTGCTTCAGATTGGTACACGATATGGTACTTTCTATAATAGCTATTTGGCAATTTGGTTTCTTGATAAATATTCATAGCCATAAAGTCATGAAACATCTTCAGAAATTTAATTGCTCTGTACCTTTAATATTTAAATAAGAATTTGCAGCTACATTACTCAAGAAATACACACCAAATATATAACTGCCATTGCATATTTGTGCTTGTAGCTCTGACTGGTAGCAGTTTGGAGGGAATTTTCTTTAATTTCAATTATCTGCAACAAAGCCAATTTTTTTTGCAGTTTTATTAATCTATGGCCCTGAGACATTCTCTTTTAGAATATAACAAAAGTTTGCAGGAAAGTGGACAAGCACTTTTTATAAAACATAATTACGTAGATTATATGCATCACTTCCTATATACTGCAACTTATTTGGAGCAAGCAGCATTTTTAAGCAATGGTTTTTGTGTCTTTGTATGTGTATCTTTAGCTCAGGGTTGATTCCTGGTGACTGCATGGACAAGACACTGCAGTTTTCTTGGCAAGGCTTCTTGGAAACAGTTTGCCATTTCCAGGGCTGGGAGTGACTGGCCCAAGGTCACCCAGCTGGTTTCACGCCTAAGACAGGACTAGAATTCACAGTCACCTAGTTTTTAACTGGGTGCTTTAACCACTATACCAAACTGGTCTTAAGCAATAACTTGCTTATTAGCAAAAAAAAAAAAAAAAAAAGCAAAGCAAAGCAAAGCACTTAAATCAGGCATAGTTACTGGGATTCATGCAAAGATAGCTCTATGGATCTTATCAGTGATTCTTCTCTCTTCCAGAACATAATTATGTACTTCATATGTTTCCACATTGGTTTTAGGAGAACTTTCTGGAAATTTGACTAAATAGCTTCTAGCTTGTTTTGTCTATATGCTCTGCTGATTTTGGGATTCTGCACAGAGTAATGACAAATATGTAATTCTTTTATAGCAAAAGTAGCATTTCAGTTGATAGATGGAATATCTCATCTTGTTTTATAATATACAACTGGTGACTAGGTTATTGTGGTTCTGTGTTTTCAGAGAGTCCATGATTCTGCACTTTGAACTTTTTCTTATGGAATATTCTAATAATACAAATTGCTCTTAATTTTAAAGAGATGAAGATGTATGCATGTAGGTGTACACTAAGTCAGGATTTTTCAGTCTGTGTCTTGGGATTTCTCTCTCTCTCTCTCTCTCTCTCTCTCTCTCTCTCTCTCTCTCTCTGTGTGTGTGTGTGTGTGTGTGTGTGTGTGTGTGTTGGTCATAATAGCTGTGGGGGAGGGTGTCACTTTTGTTTTTTTAAAAAAAACTTAATCTGTTTGCACAAAGAGAATGGGAATTCTGTCAGTCTTCCCTGGGCTTTGTCTGCACCCTGTGGACAATTTCAGTTTTATAAAGTTTAAAAATCCCTGTAACACGTACATTTTAATTATTAAAAGTAAGTGATATATTTATTTCTTGCCCAACTCTAGCCCCAATGAAATCATTAATGAATTTATTTATCATTTTAGGGAGTAAATGTATTACAGTAGAGGGTTTGATAACTCATGTCTTTAAAAATTTCTGTATAAATGCTCAAAATTTATTAGTCCTATGGGTATTTGTGAATATAGGAACGTAACATTTTCAACAGAATCTTTGGAGGCTTTCTCATGAGAAAAGCATATGAACTTGGATGGGCTACTGCCTACAGCTATGGGTAAGTATTAGGCTATGTCTCTCTTCCTGTCACTTGAAATATAACATTACTAGAACATTACGGAAGGGCAATGTCAATTTTCTTTCTCATCTAGCAGCTCTCTTAAAGTTCTCTTCTTCCTTTGCTTGGTCACTTTGCACAATCTGAGCAAGAAGCATAATGCACCTTAAATCAATGTAAACTAGTTATTAAATATTTTTCTAAGTCACGTCTCATCTTTTCTCATTCTGAAGCTGAATTGAACTGAATAAAAATGTACATTGTTTAAAATGTTACGAATAGTCCACAACTTACGATCACAATTGAGCCCAAAATTTCTCTTGCTGAGACATTTGTTAAGTGAGTTTTGCCCCATTTTACGACCTGTCTTGCCACAGTTGTCAAGTGAACTATTGCAGTGGTTAAGTTAATAACACCGTTGTTAAGTGAATCTGGCTTCCCCATTGACCTTGCTTGTCAGAAGGTCGCAAAAGGTGATCACATGACCTCGGGACACTACAACCATCATTGAACCAGTTGCCAAGCATCTGAATTTTGATCACGTGATCATGGGGATGCTGCAATGGTTGTAAGTGTGAAAAATGATCACAAGTCAGTTTTTTCAAGTCCTGTTGTAACTTGGAATGGTCACTAAATGAACTATTGTAAGTTGAGGACTACCTGTTGAAGCATACAATAAAAAATGAGGGAGCAGGATGGCGGGAAGATTGGAAGCAATAGCAGGAAAATATTGGGAAGATTGGGAAGAGGGCCACTGGGCATATGGGAATGGGAAAATGCTGAAACCATTGGGATAGGCAAGTTGGTGGGAAGATGCTGAAAAGAGGAATGGCTAGCAAAAATAGTAGTCATGGAAAGATTTTTGGAAGATTGGAACAGGGAGGGGGTGAAGAACCTTTTACTGCTTAATTAAATAACAGCCCTGCTGTGAATGATTTTTTCTACAGCATTCCAGCACTGGATGCAGATATATTTGTCCTAATTTTATATGTACTAATATGCTCCTGGGGAGGAAAGCTATGGCAAATCTAGACAGCATACTAAAAAGCAGAGACATCATCCTGCCAACAAAAGTACGTATAGTCAAGGCCATGATTTTCCGAGTTGCAACGTATGGCTGTGAAAGTTGGACCATAAGGAAGGCTGAGCGCCAAAGAATTGAGGCCGTTGAACTATGGTGCCGGAGAAAACTCCTGCGAGTCCCCTGGACTGCAAGGCAATCAAACCAGTCAGTCCTAGACGAGATCAACCCCGACTGCTCCTTAGAAGGCCAGATCCTGAAGTTGAAACTCAAATACTTTGGCCACCTAATGAGAAGGAAGGACTCACTGGAGAAGGGCCTAATGCTAGGAAAGATTGAGGGCAATAGAAGAATGGGATGACAGAGAATGAGGTGGCTGGATAGAGTCACTGAAGCAGTAGGTGTGAGCTTAAATGGACTCCAGAAGATGGTAGAGGACAGGAATGCCTGGAGCAATGTTGTCCATGGGGTTGCGATGGATCGGACATGACTTTGCAACTAACAACAACAATATACAAAGCATAAACTTTGGTAGTGAGGGAAAATTAAGATCAATCAATCAGAATAGAGTTGGAAGGGACCTTGGAGGACTTCTAGTCCAACCCCCTGCTCAAGCAGGAGACCCTATACCATTTCAGATAGGTGGCTGTCCAGTCTCTTCTTAAAAACCTCCAGTGATGAAGCACCCACAACTTCTGATGGCAAGCTATTCCACTGGTTAACTGTCCTCACTGTTAGGAAGTTTCTCCTTAATTCCAGGTTGCTTCTCTCCTTTATTAGTTTCCATCCATTGTTTCTTGTCCTGCCCTCTGATGCTTTGGAAAATAACTTGACCCCCCCCCCTCTTTGTGATAACCTCTCAAATATTGGAATACTATCATGTCCCCTCTAGTCCTTCTTTTTCCTAGGCTAGCCAAATCTAAATCCTGCAACCGTTCTTCTTATGTTTTAGTCTCCAGACCTTTAATCATTTTAGTTGCCCTTCTTTGCACTTTTTCCTTTTTTGTAATGTGATGACCAAAACTGGATGTAGTATTCTAGGTGTGGCCTTACTAAGGCTTTATAAAGCGGTACTAATACTTCACGTGATTTTAATTCTATGCGTGTTTATACAACCCAGGATTGTATTAGCTTTTTTGGCTGCTACCACACACTGCTGGCTCATATTTAAGTGATCATCCACTAAGTCTCTCACAGAAAACTGTTTTTGAGCAGATGCATAGGAAAATAAGCCAACACTGTATTAAATTATATTAACTACCATGCCTTTTTGCTTTTCATTTTCACCAAAACCATTTAATTTTAAGTCACTATCTGATTATACAATTGTAAATGTATTGCCTGATATAATGTTTTCACATATTTTAGGTTGGCCCAGTGCAGTTAAGATTAATTTATCAATATTAATTAAATGCTGTGTCAGATGACAGTGAATATGGATGTAACTTCAGAATGCAGAAACTGAGATTTTATTCATCTGTTACCCCTGTGTGGCAGAAATCAGTTTGTTGAGATAACAACATCAATTCTTTCCATCTCATTCTGAATGGGATACAGACGTACGACCACTGAACCCAAAATTTCCATTGCTAAGCAAGACTGTTATTGCGGGTTTTACCCCATTTTCTTGCTACAGTGAATCACTGCAGTTGTTAAGTTAGTAACACGGTTGTTAAGTAAATCTGGCTTCCCTATTGACTTTGCTTGTCAGAAGGTTGTAAAAGGTGGTCACATGACCCCATGACACTGCAACCATCATAAATATAAACCAGTTGCCAAGTATCCAAATTTTGATCACACGTCCATGGGGATGCTACAATGATCATGTGAAAAACGGACATAAATCATTTTTTTTTCAATGCTGTTGTAACTTTGAATGGTCACTTAATGAATGGTTGTAAGTTGAAGAATGCCTGTATTGGGTTCACTGAGCAGTTGGTATTACCGATTCAAGATTGTAGCAGCTGTAAGAAACAGTATTTCCTTAATAAATAGACATGTATCATTGCATACCGTATATGCCGGCGTATAAGACGACTTCCGGAAGTGCTAAACTCGGCGCCAAAGACGGGGGTTGTCTTATACGCAAGAAATACTGGTAGTTTCCGGCGTATAAGACAACGTTCTAGGAAGGCGACCCGGCAATAAAGACGGGGGTCGTCTTATACACCAGGTCGCCTAATACGCCGGAATATACGGTAAATTTCATAAATTCAAGTCAATAGCTATTGATGATGTTATTAGACAGCATGAAAGGAATAAGTATCACCAGTGCAGAGAAGAGAGGGAGAAGAAGGTGAAGAGTTTACTGCTAGCTATAGGGAGTTGCAGTAGAGAAAAGACAGGAGAAAGGTTAATTTGCAGAACCTGTGGCTATCCCAAGTGGGCCTTCATCAAATCTCAAAAAAGACCTAGCAGGAATTCGTCCATAACAGACCAAGAAGAAAACAATAAATGAAGCAACATAGTCATTCCATACGTTGCAGGAATATCGGAAAAGCTCAGGAGGATCTTCAGCCAACAAAACATATGTGCACACTTCAAAGCCAAGAATACACTAGGGCAGAAGCTTGTCCACTCTAAGGATAAAACACCCAGACACAAACTGAGCAACGTGGTATATGCAGTACAATGCAGTGAGCCATGTGCAGATCTGTACATTGGGGAAATGAAACCACCTCATAAATGTATGGCACATCATAGGAGATCAAACACATTTTAGTTTGAGTGTATGTTATCTGACAAAGTTGCAAAGATCTTGTGCTCCCTGGAGGCATTCTTTTTTTAGGTATACCCTTTAGCACTTGTTCAAAGGAAATCATTAAGATCATATTTGATGTTATCAGTTATGTATTATTATATTCAAATGTAGGGATATATGTTCTTGGCACTGGTGGAGAGGAAAACAAATGCAGTATAAGTCATATCATTTTTATTTGAAGACCATGTTACATTTGAATGGCTGTGGAATACCACATAATAGTTCACCCTGTTCTTAACAAATGTGAGTTGTTATTTTTACTTGTAGTTATTTTCTAGTAATAGCTTATGAACTGTAAAATCAACTCCTTGAATGCTTAAGTTGATTTTAGCTTAATGCAATAATAAAGTCTCTATACTTGCTAGTGTGAGTATAGTATACTACAATAGCCAGTTATGAATATGAGTTTGTTAGAATTTGTGCAGTAATCAAAAGGATTCTTTAAGATTTTTTTTTCTGGATTGTCACGTACACCTGAAAATCTATATTCCAATGAGTTTGCAAAATATGCAAAATTAGCTTTGTTTGATATACTAATATTTTATATCATTTATTAACAAATTTCAGGATCATAAGACGTTTCTAACATGGAATATAATTTAAAGTATAAAACAATCCATATCCATCTTTTAAAAGTACATGTATGTGTAAATATGCATTTTTTCTTACACCAGAAACTCCAGACCTTATGTGGTAGCTGTAGATGATATTATGTTTCAAAAACCAGTTGAAATTGGATCCTTACTATTACTTTCTTCCCAGGTAATAGACTAAACATATTAATAGATCAAACTAATTTAAAATGTTAGGATTACTCCACCTTTGAACATTAAGGTTGGATAAATATTGATCTTTTTAAAATATGGGTAGTCCTTGACTTAAAATGGGAATTGGGGCTGAAATGTCCATCGCTAAGTGATGTGGTTGTAAAGTGTGACTGCTTTGCTAGCAATCTCTGCAATCATGGTTGCAGTCGTTAACTAATATGCACATAATTGTTAGGCAAGGTAACTAACTTCCTGCTGGCTTTCCATAACCAAAGTCAATGGGGAAGCCAGCAGGAAGTTGCAAATCCCAGGCTGGCTGGCAGGTAAATGATTGGGAGGTTGGGGAGGGAACAAGGGAGTATGCAGAATTATGGAAGAGGGTGTATGAGGGTGCAGGGTATGTGCAAATGGCTGGCACAATACAAGCACAAAGGTGCTGGCAGATAGTATATGGGTGGGAAAGAATTCCCCAGTGACTTGCAACCTTCCCTGTGACATATTTCCGACAGATGAAACTGTTCAAAAGAACTTCGAGGCATTGTTTTAGCTTAAAGAATTTTTTATTCGAGAAACAAAGTATTGGCACTACATAGTTAAAGCCAAAAAATGAATTCCCCTCCCCTGGGCACAAAGTAGCAAAGCACAATTCCCTCCTTCAATTAATAATCATAAATCACATTCCCCAATTAGCTTGAAGCGCGGGCTTTCTTCCCAGCTCTCCAGTCCGCCAAATCTTTATCAACTCTGGGCGCAATAATCTTGGATTCCCATGATTGAGTTATTATTGTTATGACTAACTGGTCTCTCATCCACATCCCCCCTTCCCAGCATCAACTAACTCTAAAAGCGAAAGAGTAAAATGGCTGCATTTCCATCTATTGTCAAAGCAAGAACATCTGATGTTAGCAGCATTGACACCCTGATGGCTTCTCCATTGACTTGCAGATGGCAGTTATGTAATAGCAAGCTTGGCAACCAGTTGGAGGTGTGAACTAGTTGCCAAGTATCTAGATTGTGATCACATGACCAGTGGGACGCTGGGATGGGTGGAACTTCAATGGCCAGTTGTAACCAATCCTAATAACTTTGAACCATTGCTGAACAAATTGTTGTAGATGAGGACTACCTATAATAAAATGTCCTGCATATTTTATTAGTTTTTAATATCTATATCTGATAATCAGTTGATCCTAATTTTTAATTTTGAAAGGTATGTTATACTGAAAAAAATAACATCCAGGTTCGGGTGCACAGTGAAGTTTATGATCCAGACACCAGGGTCCACCATACAACCAATGTCTTCCATTTCACATTTATGATAGAGAGGGAAATACCAGATGTTGTTCCCAAGACATATGGTGGTGAGTAATCATTTCAATATCTCACTGTCTTATGTCAATAAAAAAATAATTTGTAATGAATTCTAACATAGTTTAAAAGTAGGATCTTTAGAAATATGAGCTTGCTTGTTTTTTCTCTCTCTCATAGCTTCATTTATCTGGTGCTATGGCATACTAATCTATGCCATCAGTTTTCAGATTACTTTCAGTATTTCATCTGTACCTATTAATATTGATCTTCAGTTTTTTCAGTTTGTATTATACAAATTATCTTAAATTAAAGAACTGATTAAGCATTCTTATGATGATGAAAACACAAACACTGGTTTTATCTCTCTGGAAAAAGCAGGCTTAAAAAAATTAGGAAAATTAATATGTAAAGAAAATGGTGAAAAATAAAAAAGCCTGGAGCATCCAATTGATCATGTAATGAAACTTGACATTTTTGCTTTTCTTTCAGAATCTATGTTGTATTTGGATGGAAAACGGCACTTTGAAAACACAGCATAGGATCAGCACAGAATTACAGCTTTGGATGGCCTTGGAAACTTCAACTATAGTGGTTATCAGAAAGAACAAAAGTATTTTAACTCCAAAAACTTCAAAAACAGTACAGAAATATTATAAAACATTTTAGATTTCTAATCAGGTATTTTTGTTACTATTTATACAAATATTTTAATATTCTCATTGCATATATTCTTCATATGTTTAAGCATAAAACAAATATAGAATATCTTGCTGAGGATCCAATTATGATTGGGATGGATAAAATATTGTGTAAATAAATAATCAGTAGCAATAAAAAAAAAGCTACGTTTGAGTAGGAAGTATAGAAAATAGTATGGAATAATGCTCCTGAATATCTTTTATATCTTTTAAAAACTTGTACATTATTTAAACTCATATGCAGCATATAGTGGGGACACTATATTGGGCCAATTAAGACATTTCCCCCCTTTCCCTTTGGATTCATACAAAATCTCATTGTGCTGATTGGTAGTTGTTTTTTTTTGTTTTTTTTTATTAGAAAGTTTTGGTAAGCTTGGTTCTTTCTATTTGTACAATCTCCCTGTCCTGTCCTGGTACTGATAGTAAAATGTGATCCTTATATAAAGTGCTGATTTCTTACTAAGACAAATCAGAAACTGAAAATAGTGCTGTTTTCATAATAATAAACTATGACCAACTCCTGCGGCCACAGGAAGGTTTTTGGATTAATAAATGTCTCATGAATCTTGTTTTTACTGCACTCCTAGGAGATACTGAAAATTATGGACAAATGTATATACATACATATATATATATGTTAACCAAATAAGAAAGAAAAAACGAACACCAGGATATAATAAACCAGACTGTTTAATATAAACAAGCCTGTGGTTAAAAAGAGTCACTAAGCTTTCGTCAGGCCAAACTGCTGACATCAGAGTTGGAGTAAAAGACCAGGAAGGCAGCTCATATAACCACCTGCCTCTGCGCCCAGCTCCTTGAGCGCGTCATCGGCCCGTTGATTGTATTAATCCGTACCGCACAGAGTACGCATCAGGCAAACTGTCCTTGGGTCCGCTAGTTGTTTTACGATCCTCAAGTGCTCTTTTAGAGCGTGTGCAAGCACTTGGAGGGGGCTGTCAACCTGTTCCTGCACCCAGTCTCCCTCCCTCCCAGGGCCATTATCCTCCCCCACCCCCAAGGCCGTTATCATCTCACCCATAATTCCTCCGCCCCAGTCCTGCAAAAAGCAGCTGTTCTGGCATTTCTGCTCTTTGTCTTCCCCCTCCCTCCCCCTCCTTCCAGATCGCCTCTGCGCATCCGTCCCCGGCTTAGGGCCGTTTGGGCCATCATCTCGGTCCATCGGAGTCGTGGTCACCTTGCCTGTAGAGCCATCGTCCCAATTATGCAAGATGCTGTCCCATTGTTTGTTAATTCTGCTTCTTAGATTTTTCATGTTTCCTTGAATAATTTTAGAAAGGATTCTGATTTATATCTAAAACCAAAACATGTTAATTAGTGGATTTTATGACAAGACTGTAATATCTTTTGTCTGAATCAATATATTGATCAATCTAGGCCATAACCTCAAGTTCAGTGCAATGCTGTGTCTTCATGAGTTGAAAGCTCCAATTAATGCAGAATGCAATGATCTATTTCTTGACTAAATGAGATCATAATAATAGTAATACATACAGTAGATCAATGGCAGACTCAAAATTATCTGTTATGAAAAGGTCCAAATGTTAGCTTTGGCATTTAAAAATTTAGATAGCTAGGAATTAAAATAATTTAGAAACCATATTCTGTCTATTTTTCTTTTAGTTATATTTTAAGGTCATGAAAAATGCTTCTTGATTGCACAATCATAAAAAGTATTTATGCTAAGTTCAAAATAATATTGGCCACAACTATGGAAATTTTCAAGTGTCAATTCTCTTATAAAAACCACTATGAAGATTTTGATAAGCATGTGGCATATCAAGTATAGGGATCCACTATATGGGATCCACAACATTATTTCCCAAAATTTCTACAAAACTAGTTGGGGCAGTTTTTTAGAAGCTGGGATCAAGAGATTACTCTTAAGTGAAAGTGTCAGAGACAGAACTGATCATAAGTAAAAAGGCAACAATTCTACTGCAAACAGGTGCATCTGTGCAATTTATATGGTGGTTTATTATTCACAAGAAATTATTGCTCTTTCAGGTTCTCTTAAATACTTGGTTTCTTTAGAAGCATTTCCTTGCAATATCCCACACATGATATTTGTTAAGATTTTTGCTTTTATTACAAGTTATTTCATCAGGACTTTCTAGTTAAAGCTTGCTTTCAGAAACCACGGCTGGGAAAATAAAAGTGATCTTGCACATTGTTGTTGTTGTTAATTGTGAAGTCGTGTCTGACCCATCGCGACCCCATGGACAACGTTCCTCCAGGCATTCCTGTCCTCTACCATCTTCTGGAGTCCATTTAAGTTCACACCCACTGCTTCAGTGACTCCATCCAGCCATCTCATTCTCTGTCGTCCCCTTCTTCTATTGCCCTCAATCTTTCCCAGCATTAGGCCCTTCTCCAGTGAGTCCTTCCTTCTCATTAGGTGGCCAAAGTATTTGAGTTTCAACTTCAGGATCTGGCCTTCTAAAGAGCAGTCGGGGTTGATCTCATCTAGGACTGACCAGTTTGAACGCCTTGCAGTCCTAGCACCATAGTTCAAAGGCCTCAATTCTTTGGCGCTCAGCCTTTCTTATGGTCCAACTTTCACAGCCATACATTGCAACTGGGAAAACCATGGCCTGGACTATACGCACTTTTGTTGGCAGGGTGATGTCTCTGCTTTTTAGTATGCTGTCTAGATTTGCCATAGCTTTCCTCCCCAGGAGCAAGCGTCTTTTAATTTCTTGGCTGCAGTCCCCATCTGAGGTGATCTTGGAGCCCAGAAAAATAAAATCTGTCACTACCTCCATTTCTTCCCCATCTATTTGCCAGGAATTGAGAGGGCCAGATGCCATGATTTTGGTTTTCTTAATGTTGAGTTTCAAGCCAACTTTTGCACTTTCCTTCTTTACCTGCATAAAGAGGCTCTTTAGTTCCTCTTCACTTTCTGCCATTAGAGTGGTATCATCTGCATATCTTAGGTTGTTGATATTTCTCCCGGCAATCTTAATTCCAACTTTTGATTCATCTAGCCCTGCCTTTCTCATGATGTACTTTGCATATAAGTTAAATAGACAGGGCGACAGTATACAGCCTTGCTGGACTCCTTTTCCAATTTTGAACCAATCAGTGGTTCCGTGTCCAGTTCTCACTGTTGCTTCTTGACCCACATATAGGTTTCTCAAGAGACAAATGAGATGGTCTGGTACTCACATCTCTTTAAGAACTTGCCACAATTTGTTGTGATCCACACAATCAAAGGCTTTTGCATAGTCAATGAAGCAGAAGTAGATGTTTTTCTGGAACTCTCTAGCTTTCTCCATGATCCAGCGTATGTTGGCGATTTGATCTCTAGTTCCTCTGCCTCTTCGAAATCCTGCCTGTACTTCTGGTAGTTTTCGATCCACATACTGCTGGAATCTAGCTGGTAGGATTTTAAGCATAACTTTACTAGCATGTGAAATGAGAGCAATGGTGTGATAGTTTGAACATTCTTTGGCATTGCCTTTCTTTGGAATTGGAATGTAAACTGACCTTTTCCAATCCTGTAGCCACTGTTGAGTTTTCCAAATTTGCTGGCAAATTGAGTGTAGCACTTTTACTGCATCATCTTTTAAGATTTTGAATAACTCAGCTGGAATACTGTCACCTCCACTAGCTTTGTTGTTGCTCAGGTTTTCTAAGGCCCATTTCACTTCACATTCTAGGATGTCTGGTTCGAGGTCAGTGACCATCTCATTGTGGTTATCTGGGACGTTAAGCTCATTCTTGTATAGTTCTTCTGTATAGTTTTGCCATCTTTTCTTAATCTCTTCTGCCTCTGTTAGGTCCCTGCCATTTTGGTCCTTTATCATGCCCATCTTTGCATGAAACGTTCCCTTTATATCTCCAATTTTCTTGAAGAGATCTCTGGTCCTCCCTATTCTGTTGTTTTCTTCTATTTCTTTGCACTGTTCATTTAAGAAGGCATTCTTATCTCTTCTAGCTACTCTCTGGAATTCTGCATTCAATTGGGTGTATCTTTCTCTTTCTCCTTTGCCTTTCGCTTCCCTTCTTTCCTCAGCTATTTGCAAAGCTTCCTCAGACAGCCATTTTGCTTTCTTGCATTTCTTTTTCTTTGGGATGGTTTTAGTTGCTACCTCTTGTACAATGTTGCGAACTTCCATCCATAGTTCTTCAGGCACTCTGTCTATCAGATCTAATTCCTTAAATCTATTTGTCACCTCTACTGTATATTCATCAGGAATATGATTTAGTTCATACCTGAGTGGCCTAGTGCTTTTCCCTACTTTTTTCAATTTAAGCCTAAATTTTGCAACGAGAAGCTCATGATCTGAGCCACAGTCAGCTCCTGGTCTTGTTTTTACTGACTGTATAGCGCTTCTCCATCTTTGGCTGCAGAGCACATAGTCGATCTGATTTTTATGTTGACCGTCTGGTGATGTCCATGTGTAGAGCCGTCTCTTGTGTTGTTGGAAAAGAGTGTTTGTTATGACCATCGTATTCTCTTGACAAAATTCTATCAGCCTGTGCCCTGCTTCATTTTGTACTCCAAGGCCAAACTTGCCTGTTATTCCGGTTATCTTTTGGCTTCCTACCTTAGCATTCCAATCCCCCATGATGATAAGGACATCATTTTTTGGTGTTAATTCTATAAGGTGCTGTAGGGCTTCATAGAACCGGTCAATTTCATCCTCTTCAGCACCAGTGGTTGGGGCATAGATTTGGACTATTGTGATATTGAATGGTTTGCCTTGGATTCGAATTGAGATCATTCTGTCATTTTGGGGATTGTATCCCAGTATTGCTTTTCCTATTCTTTTATTGACTATGAAGGCTACTCCATTTCTTCTGAGGGATTCTTGCCCACAGTAGTATACCTGATGGTCATCTGAGTTAAATTCACCCATTCCTGTCCATTTTAGTTCGCTGATTCCTAAGATGTCGATGTTCAGTCTTGTCATCTCTTTTTTGACTATGTCTAGCTTGCCTTGATTCATGGATCTTACATTCCAGGTTCCTATGGAGAAAAAATCTTTACAGCATCGGACTTTCCTTTCACCACCAGATATATCCACAGCTGAGCGTCCTTTCGGCTTTGGCCCAGTCGCTTCATTCTTTCTGGTGCTACTAGTACTAGCCCTCTGCTCTTCCCCAGTAGCATATTGGACACCTTCCGACCTGAGGGGCTCATCTTCCAGCGTCATATCTTTTTTCCTTTTAGTACTGTCCATGGGGTTTTCATGGCAAAGATATTGGAGTGGTTTGCCATTTCCTTCTCCAGTGGATCACATTTTGTCAGAACTCTCTGCTATGACCTGTCTGTCTTGGGTGGCCCTGCACGGCATATCTTATAGCTTCATTGAGTTGCACAAGCCCCTGCGCCACAACAAGGCAGTAATCCATAAAGGGGTCTTGCACATTAGAACATTGCTATTGAATATTCTGTATCTTCATAATAAGCTAATAAATATATAACAATCAAATACACCTTTGCTGAGAAAACTATTTGCCATTCATCTCCATTTTTATTCTGTAATTGTTTGAATTAATTTCATTTATTAATGGTAGTTATTG